ACCCTGGTGACTTAAACTCTTCAGGACCATTTAATAAAGTTCTTGACAAACAGACAAACTTCATGGTAGGTACTTGCAATTATTGCTGTGGCACGGTAGTTATTCCTTCGTTAGCAGTGATGGTGCACGTAATGAAATAAAATTAGTACTTAGTCATAGCGTGCACACGGGGGGAGTGGCACAAAGCCACCTTAATACAGTGACATACCGTAACTACTCGAATCGAACGCGCACCTTTTTTCCGGTTAAGCGAGTTCATAAATCGCATGCGCGTTAAAATCGAGTGTGAAAAAAATGAATACGGTCATTCTATTGCCATCAGCATTTCCAAAATGGCTGCCCCCTACGTGCTTTGGCATGGCGCGTCGGCCATTTCTGCCTATGTGTTTCCCATGTGCAGCACTTTGTACATGTGCTGAGGAGTTCGTCATCTTGTAGTTCATTAGCATCGATGGCATGGAAGGGCCGACTCCAGAAACTTGACGAGTGCACCACGATGCCGCTTTTAAAAGAAAAGTCATCGCATGTGCCGAAACAGACGGAAATCGAGCCGCATCGCGGTCGTTCGGAGTTCCCGAAACGTGCGTGTGGGACTGGCGGAAACAAAAGCAGAAGATTGTCAAAGATTCATGCAAAGGCTTCAGTGGACCACAGCAGCGTCGGTTTCCGCAAATTCAAGAGCTGCTCGCCAAGAATGTGCTTGAGCAGCGAGCGGCACAGCGGCTCGTGACGACAGAACTGCTCTAAGTGCGGGCTGTGCAGTTAGCTTTAGAAAAAGGGCTAACGCGGAGCCAGTTCAAAGCGAGCAGGTGCTGGCTAACTAACTTTATGAAGAGGAAAGGCTTTTCCCTCCAAAAGCGAACGGGCATGCGCCAAAACTTGCCGGAGGAGTACGAAGAAAAGCTTCACAGTTTTCAGAGGTTCGTCCTAAACTTGCGGCACAACAACGGCTACCTGCTTGGGCAAATCGGGAATGCCGATCAGACGCCTCTTTATTTCGACATGCCTGGCACCACAACCGTCGAGAAGGGGGCGTAGCAAGTTCGCATGCTGACACCGGGCCACGGTAAAAGAAGAGTGACGGCAATGCTCCATTGCACGTCAGATAGGCACAAGCTTCCCTGGACCTCATATTTAAATGGAAGACGCCCCCGAAAGGAGTCGTTTTCCCGAGTAGCGTGATCGTGCGGGCCAACGAGAAAAATGCGTTGCAATCGATGTCTTACTTTTTTTTTTTTTTCGTCGTGAATACCGAGTGCGCGTTACAATCGAGGGCACGATACGTTGATGTTATAGGGACGACCTACAGAAAACTTTCAGCTGAAGTGTCTTTAGGTATTTCCAAGTGCAAAGCTCTCGTAACTGCTCATGTAGAGATTATTATGTAAACCCTCATTATCTCTACCTTTGTTTTGGCTGCTTGCAGAAGACTTGTGAAGTCTATTCCAACTATTTCAAAAGGTGCAGTCTTTGTTACTCAATCGGCAGCCAGAGGACGTATCTCTTGTTGCAGTGGTCTGGAAATATACCTTCTGCATATAATGCACATTTTTATGACATATTTTACTTCCGGTCCTGTCGTTCTCTGATAATCCAAAACTTGGTTCTTAAACGGGCTAGCATGTCTCGCACTCTGCGTGAAAAGTCTCTCCATGCACATGTCTAATCAGTATTCTCGTAAAATTATTTTCTCTATGTATTACTATCAGATGCTTTCCATTAAATGTTATACTTGTCTCTCGAAGTTGTCCTTTTAGTGTGAGTACGCTGTGTTCGTCTGTGAATACCTCAACCCCTTATTGTCTCATGTGCTCAGACTCTCTTCAGTTCTTTGTAAGCTCCACATTTTGTTCTTGCCGAATAATATGGCTCACCGCAGCCTCGATCTGTTCAGCTGTTAGAGGGCCATATACCTTGTTGGTTGAACTTTGCTGTAGAAGTGAATCATCCAAGCTGTTGTGCTTAACATCTCAGAGTAATTGCCAAACTTTTCAAATTAGATTCCTTGTTCTGTGCCTTGTTTCGTCGTATATTCAAAGAGTATTTCAACATTCCTTGTTTCTTCAGTATCACCTAGCTCTTTGTAACTTGGATAGCCTTTGTTCTGTAACCACTCTGGTCTTTTCGACCAAATTTCTGCTGAAGGAAGTTGTTCCACGGTGACACCTCTAGTTAGATCTGCTGAATTTCCATTACTGCTCACATATGCGTATTGACTCTCTGCTGATACGTACTTATCTTATTTCTTGTTGTTGATGTTCAACGAATGCTTCTCGGCATTTTTCTTATCCAGTTTAACACGATTGTAGCATCCGTCCAAAACCTCACCAGGTCAGTTTCTTGTTTCAGGTTACTTTTGATGTAACTCCACATTCTCACAGGTAGTGTTGCTCCTAGAAGTTCTAATTTTGCTAGGCTGATTGCATTAATTGGAGACACTTTACTTTTTGTGATTATCAGCACTGTCTCTTTTGACTCTGTTCTTGTAGGCCATTACCAGGTAAACTGCACTTCCATACGCTGCAGGGCTTTCATCATAGAAAATGTGCATTTCTGTGTTCAAATGCTGATTATTATTTGAGACGTACTGCCGTAGTACATTTATAATTTCGGATTGATTTAATTACCTTCCACCCATTTTCTCCATATCTTCTCATCTTGATCTGTTAAATGATCATCCCAAGAAATTCCAGACTTCCAGAGCCTTTTTATCTCTATGTTTGCTCTTACAGTGACAGGTGTTAGAAATCCCAATGGATTGAATATCTTGGCACTTTCTTGAAGCACTGCGCGCTTGGTCAGCCTTTCACTCACTTCTGCTGTCACCTATTTTTTCACAGGATAGCACAAAGTATGGTCATCCGTATTCCATGTCATTTCTAGAATGTTAATTTCACTTGATGATGTAGGAACGACATTTTCATTCTCGAAAAATGTTTCCTTCTCTCTTCACTGTTCGATGTCCATTTCTTTTGGTCTGCGAAAATTTTCCTTTGCGGCCCAGTATAAACCTTTCGCTTGACTCTCGTGCGTTGCTCCAGTCATGACACCATCCACGTAAATTGAATTTCGAAGTTTATCCACAGTTTCGGAAAAGTCTTGCTGTTCTTGAATTAGGTGATGTTGTATTGTTGCTGCCGGCAAGAAACTGCTTGGCATTGTACCAAATGTCACCCTGGTCATCTTCTTTGTAACGATGTTTTCTTTAGTTAGGTCGCACTGTTCGTTTTATCACCACAAAAAATGAAGGGCGTCTCAATCTTCTTTGTGAATGCAGATCTGCAAGAACGCCTTTTCTACGTCTGTCGTCATTGCAACTGAGTGTTTGTGAAAGTTCATTATCAGTGCCAGTATGTCTGGGTTAAAGTTTTCTCCAGCTTTTAGGTTTTCATTCAACGACTCTCCTGGTTGGCGACAAAGCGTCAAACACTATTCTCACTTTCGTTGTAAGTCGATCTTCTTTAATGATTGCTTGATGTGGCATGTAGTATGCAACTGCTCAAGTTCACCCGACGTTGCTATCTCTGCCACTCTCAATGTAAAGTATTCTTTCATAGCACTGTTGTATCTTTCTCTTAGCACAGAGTCTTTCTGAAGTCTTCTTGATACTTGCATCAATCTTCTGATTGCTACTTCCTTGTTGTCTTCCATGTTCACTGTTTCTTGCAATTGTAGTCCTACTTTGTATCTATCTCCATCCCTCTCCACCGTCTTTTCAAACGATGCAAAAAGGTGGTCAACTCTATGCTGCCTGTTCTTCGTTTCTGCTATTCCAGTGTTTTCGAGCTTCCAAATTCTTTGGATGGCATCCGCTATATCATCTCTTCTTTGTAGCGTGAAGAACCATAACTGATCTTGCTTTTCTGGCATTTGATTCTACACCGCATGGTCCATGTACAAGAATCGACCCAGAATGCTTTCTACTAGCATTGTGTGTTGGTTTAGTCTTTTCACACGTCTAGTTATTGCCTCCCCACAGAAACCAGACCCTAGAAGTAAACTTGTTTCCTGTGTTGTACATTTTTCATGGTTGTCATCAGCGATTTTCATTCCCATCTTCTTAATACGGGACTTTGAATTGTCGTTTGGGCTAGTGAGTATCGTTCCTGATATGTCTATTTCAATAGCCTCCATTACTAGTGATTGCCCGTTTGGATTTTCCTTCAGTGCAACTTCGACAACGTTCATAACACTCTCACTTTTTTTTCCTCCAATGTATGAATGATCTTTGGCTTCCGCTGTCGAATAAAATTTTTGCGTACTCTCCTTTACCTTCTGTCCATGTTATGGCTGTTTGCAATAGAACAAGATGGCATTTTTCTTGATGTTTAGAAGATGCTAGAAGGTTGCACGATTTGTTAGCAGCCATATTGTCGTTTTGTTCCTCACGTTCATCATTATGCTTGCTGCCTTCACTGCCCTTTGTCCTGCACATGGAAGTTGCGTGAAAGTCACATGGAAGCACTTGAAAGTCTATATAAACAAAACGTTTAATTTGCGTCACAGGGCCCATTTAAGGGGTAAAAAACAAAGGTTTGTCGAGAAGGAATGGGCATGACATGTAGAGAGAAGCCAGGATAGCGGCTGGTTTCAAAAGCACTCGCCTGAGTTCGAGGGGGAGGCAAGTGTGTCAGGGGGAAGTAGGAGGCTAGGTGGGCAGATGAGAATAACACTATGTTGGAGGTAATATGACCACACCCAGTGTAGGACTGGGTTTATTGGAGAATACTGGGAAAGGTTTTTAGCCCTGCAGTGGCCGTTCGTAAGGCTGCTGCTGACGGCGATAATTATCATCATCACGAGGTAAAGAAGCAAATTGCCAGAGTTTTCATGATTGGGCTGAATATTAAGATTGTTGGATAGCATGGGTGAAGTCGCTTGTTCAGACCATGTGTTTGCAGATGATACACAGAATTTAGGCTTGACTGTAATGAAATTACTTTCTTCTATATTTAGTATTCTCAAGAATTTCTTTTGTGGGCTGTGATGTTTGGTTCCAGGACTGCCTCTCTCAGAACCCGAATTGCCACAGCTTCTCGTCATCTTCGGTGATGACGATGACGACTGATGAGAACGGGCGACCACAGGTCTACCAGGCCACTCAGTCCACTCGCACAGCGCCAGGAGGGGTGAGTAGTGCATGACTCTGATCACCTCTGCTGTTTGCTCTCACCAGATAAATGCGAACTTGACCAGACTAAAATTGTGTGTGAAGAATCTGTGGTAGTAGTTGGTGTATCTACAAAAAAAAAACAATTGGGGAACCCTTAAGCTTCGCCTTTAACAGTTGAACGCGATAGCGAAATCTGGCCCCTAGTAGTAGTAGTAGTAGTAGTAGTAGTAGTAGTAGTAGTAGTATTTTTATTTACAGTAAGCCGGATACAGAGCTCACTGCACTTCAACCGCTAAGTGCACACTTATTAATATCTTTTGTTACACACGCACATACACACACACAAACGCATGTAAGCGCGTTGTATCTATAGTAATGGTACAGGTTTTTAATCTATTTAACAGCATTTTTATAATAACTTCATAAAAATATTGTCTTGCCGGCCCTCATCGATGAGCAAGGCTGTGCAACGTGGCCACTTTCCTGTGCTTGAACGGTGTAACCATATGCACTAAACGAAAATAACATGAAATAATTTCAAAACCGGGGTAAAACACTTGTGCTCTAGCAAACTACCTTTTCTGGGTTTTTTTACCACCTACCAGTTGAAGTAAAAATTAACTCTCATGCTAACTGAGTTCTTGAACGTAGGAAGGGTAATAATTATTTATCCCAGTGAGGTTTTGAGCGAGTATAGAGAGAGTAAATTTTCACTGCCTTCACAAGGTTGTTGAGGCGATTTCTGGGAATTATTTCAGGTTGTAAAAAAAATTAAGGTTGACGGGTGGATTCGCCCAAAGAGTCTGCAAATTTAATAAATATCGAATGGTGGCTGAATTGATGACATTTAGGTTAACATACAAACACACACATACAAAAAATGCAGAATAAAACACCTCTTCAACAGACTGCACGCAGTAAAGTAAATAGTTGGGCGAGTTGGTGCTGGTTCATGATGATAAGGGGCGCGAAACAAACGACACACAACAGAGAAGAAGTACACGGGACGACGCGCTACTAGCAACTGGAATATTTTATTCAGGAAGCACCATTTATACCGCAGTGACATCAAGTTTAACCCAATGAATCGACCAAAAACTAAAAATACATGCTCAGCATGCCTATAGGTAACGTTGCAGATAGGCTATCTCCCCTTCCTGCAGACTGATAGAGGGGTGGCTGATGCAATCAGGCCCCTCCCTCTGGATAAAGAGGGCTTCTATAATCTCCCTCTCGGCTGAGCCCCTGTGCCTGTAGATTACAGTTGTCTGCTCAAATGCCAGCTTACAGTTACCCTGATCGCATCCTCTGCAATGCATCGCCAGATGCGTGAATGGCCTTCCTATTAAAGAGCTGCTGTGCTCCCGCAACCGCACGTTGAGGCATCTACCAGTTTGCCCTATGTATGCCTTGCCGCACGACAGTGGTATTCTATATACAACACCACGTGCGCAAGGAACAAACTGCCTTACGTGCTTAATGGCACATCCTCTTTTTTTCACACTGCTTTTGCCTACCTGTCCTCTTACCAACCGCTGAGCAGATGCGGCCCACCTTGTTTTCTGCGGAGAACACGAGATCCACCCCATACCTCGAAGCCACTCTCTTAAGGCCGTGCGAAAGCCAGTGGATATACGGGATTTTTGACACTCTTTTTCTTCCCTGCGGGACATTCCTGTCTAGGCCTGTCCCAGGCCGTTGCTTAATGGACTTTTTTATTTTTTCGCAAGCAGCAGCTAAGACACTATCAGGAAACGCCGCGTCTCTTAGTCTTTCCACCTGCGCGAAAAAACTTGTCTCCATCAGATGTGGGCATGATCTGTCCAACGCCGTTTTTAGGCACGTCATGGCAATGCCATTTTGTACTAGGCGAGAGTGCCCAGATCTGTAATCAAGAAGCGGCCTCGCGGTCCTAGGGGGAAAACATCCAACACACGTGTTTCTGTTGGAATGACAGCTGCAAATCCAGAAAACGCAGCTTTCCATTCATCGGCACTTCGCACGTGAATGTCAAGCCCCGCCCCTTATTATCAAACACACTGAGCACTTCATCAACTCTGCTATCAAAGTTGTCTGAATTAATCAACAGCAAATAGTCGTCCACATATCTGTACACTTTTTGGACCAAACCATCAAGGCCAGTTACAAGATCGTTGTCAACTCTGGCTAAAAAAATGTTGCTCAGTACTGGAGCCACTTTGGATCCAATACAGATCCCTGATCTCTGCACAAAGTTCTTACCCTTCCAGCCGACTTACGTGTGTTTTATGTAAAAGAACAATAATTCTAAAAAACTTTGAACCGAGATGCCGCACTTGGTCACAAACTTCATTTCATCATTGTTGCCAATGCACTCTTTCACACTAGTCATCAGTTCATCATGAGGCAGTGAATAATATAAGTCTTCTATGTCGATGCTAAATCCCGAAGTGTTCTCATGGACATTTCCTTTAAGGAAATCCACTACCGTAGACGAGTTCGGAATGATGAACGGGTCCTCCACTTTCAGTGAGCTCAACTGCGACTGAAGATAGGTAGACACCGCAAGACACCAAGTGCCTCTCTCCGACACGATCGCACGGAAAGGAAAGTCTGGTTTGTGTGTTTTCACTGAAAAGAATGTCTCCATAGTTGAGCCTTTCATCTTTTTCACTTCACTGCACACCTTTTCCAAGTTTAACCGAAGTAGGAGCTCGCGCACTTTTTTTACTATCTCCTGCGGCTTCTCCGACACTTCGCGAAAGTTTTTACACACCGCCGCCCCTGCTTTTTTCACTGAACATACCTTCAGGCATAACTACAAAGGATCCTTCTTTGTCCGACAGAAGAACACGCAGGCCATTAGTGGTAAAAAAATCAATAGCGGGATCGAGACTAACAACCCGTTTTTTCCTACCTTCTGACCGCGGTAGAAGTTCCACGCACTCAGTGATACACCTAGATTTGTCTTCTTCCTTGACCTTGTTGGACACCGACCTTGCCAAGGCGACCTTATCGATGGCCCGTAGGTGTGGCTCCAAACAAAACTTTGGGCCCAGCTGAAGCACTCTCTTGTGTTCCTCAGGAATGTGGACGTCATCCATGACGACTACCGGCCGTTCAGGGAGGCGCTTTTTCTTTCTTGTCGGCAGTGTGGGACGAACGCTGTTCCAGAGGAGCTCCGTGACTTGGTCAGCGATTTTTGTCCAACTCCCGAACGCGCGCATTCCACCTTGCCGTTCGCACGAGATTACAAGGCAATCCCTGAAGAAACGCACCTGATGCTGCCACTCAGCGCTGAGAATCCTGCACATACGCCGGCAATGGCCTTCCGAAGGTTGCATCCATCCACACATCTGTTGCAATTCAGGGGGCACAAGGATTCTCTTGCATACCAAGAAGCTGTTCTTGCCTTGCATTTGTAGATTCCGATGAGGGCCGTCATTACCGAGGGGTTGAACAAGACTGCGTTAGAACACTCAAAAGAGCCCTTTGTACAAGAAATTATACTCAGTAAAGTAAAAAGTTGGGCGAGTTGGTGCTGGTTCATGATGATAAGGGGCGCGAAACAAACGACACACAACAGAGAAGAAGTACACGGGACGACGCGCTACTAGCAACTGGAATATTTTATTCAGGAAGCACCATTTATACCGCAGTGACATCAAGTTTAACCCAACGAATCGACCAAACACTAAAAATACATGCTCAGCATGCCTATAAGTAATGTTGCAGATAGGCTATCTCCCCTTCCTGCAGACTGATAGAGGGGTGGCTGATGCAATCAGGCCCCTCCCTCTGGATAAAGAGGGCTTCTATAATCTCCCTCTCCGCTGAGCCCCTGTGCCTGTAGATTACAGTTGTCTGCTCAAATGCCGGCTTACAGTTACCCTGATCCGCACGTTGAGGCATCTACCAGTTTGCCCTAAGTATGCCTTGCCGCACGACAGTGGTATTCTATATACAACACCACGTGCGCAAGGAACAAACTGCCTTACGTGCTTAATGGCACATCCTCTTTTTTCACACTGCTTTTGCCTACCTGTCCTCTTACCAACCACTGAGCAGATGCGGCCCACCTTGTTTTCTGCGGAGAACACGAGATCCACCCCATACCTCGAAGCCACTCTCTTAAGGCCGTGCGAAAGCCAGTGGATATACGGGATTTTTGACACTCTTTTTCTTCCCTGCGGGACATTCCTGTCTAGGCCTGTCCCAGGCCGTTGCTTAATGGACTTTTTTATTTTTTCGCAAGCAGCAGCTAAGACACTATCAGGAAACGCCGCGTCTCTTAGTCTTTCCACCTGCGCGAAAAAACTTGTCTCCATCAGATGTGGGCATGATCTGTCCAACGCCGTTTTTAGGCACGTCATGGCAATGCCATTTTTTACTAGGCGAGAGTGCCCAGATCTGTAATCAAGAAGCGGCCTCGCGGTCCTAGGGGAAAACATCCAACACACGTGTTTCTGTTGGAATGACAGCTGCAAATCCAGAAAACGCAGCTTTCCATTCATCGGCACTTCGCACGTGAATGTCAAGCCCCGCCCCTTATTATCAAACACATGATGATAAGGGGCGCGAAAAGAAACGACACACAACGGAGAAGAAGTACACGGGACGACGCGCTACTTGATGTCACTGCGGTATAAATGGTGCTTCCTGAATAAAATATTCCAGTTGCTAGTAGCGCGTCGTCCCGTGTACTTCTTCTCTGTTGTGTGTCGTTTGTTTCGCGCCCCTTATCATCATGAACCAGCACCAACTCGCCCAACTTTTTACTTTACTGAGTATAATTTCTTGTACAAAGGGCTCTTTTGAGTGTTCTAACGCAGTCTTGTTCAACCCCTCGGTAATGACGGCCCTCATCGGAATCTACAAATGCAAGGCAAGAACAGCTTCTTGGTATGCAAGAGAATCCTTGTGCCCCCCTGAATTGCAACAGATGTGTGGATGGATGCAACCTTCGGAAGGCCATTGCCGGCGTATGTGCAGGATTCTCAGCGCTGAGTGGCAGCATCAGGTGCGTTTCTTCAGGGA